TGGTTGTCCTCAACAGGGGGTGGTTGCTCCACAGATGGTTCATTCTCCATTTGGGGCACCTAAAATGGTAACCAAAGTATAATTAACTTAGTACACCAATATATCCACAGAAATAAAGCTTGCACGTTACTTACATTCGGCGGTTGGCCTTTACACGATCTGGAATTGTGACCTTTTTGGAAGCATTTCTGGCAGGTCATTTGTCTTCCTTGTCTTCCCATTTTTTTCTTTCCTTCCCATTCTTCAGGATTTCTTTTTTTCTTAGGCTTGCCAGGCATCTTCCGTGGTGCAGGTGGCTGTATGGCTGGCATCCTTGTTGGTGTCCATTGATTCATGCCTTCAACAACTGGTACCTCATATGCATAAGAGGCCCTAAATCTTGACAACTTGTACCAATCTGAAACATATTCTTCAACTCTCAATTTTTTTAAACTCAATATAGTCATGGCATGTCTACAAGGAATCCCAGATATATCCCAATACCTACAGGTGCATTTTCTATCTTCCAAATATACAATATAAGTGTTTCTGCAAGAATTGACTTTATTTTTACTATTCATGTAATCCTCAACTTCAAAACCACCTCCACCAGGCCATAGGACTTTGCATTTCTTGCTACCTTCCCTATTCCGTACAATCTTAGTCCAAATCTTAGGCCCAAATTCTCCCACAAACTTAGCAGATCCAAACTCTCTCCTAACAACAGTTCTTGCTGCACACATAGCTCTCATTTCTTGATTCATAGAAATTATTGCCTTGTGTCGTGCATCAACAAGTAAGGCATTGAACACCTCACACCTGTTATTGTCGACCACAGATGACTTAATTTCGGCTTTGAAAAAAGCTCTGCTCCAGTGCTTGGGATCCACATTCATTATGTCATCCCTTGCTGCAAGCTTCAATTTGCCTAACTCTGCTAAGGCTGCATTAAATTTTGCCTCATTCAGTGCCTTCACACATCTCCAAAATAAGGCTTGCAATTCCTTCCCTTTGTGTTTCTTCCTAAAGTTGGCATATCTATGCCTAGCACAATGTCTGTGTTCTGCATTTGGAAAAAGGGCTGCAACGACATTTACCAACCCCTGTATTTAACCAAGACATTATCAACTATAACCATAATAAAAAAATTACAATACATTATCTGATCAGGGACCAAGAAACTGCAACAATAAAAGGTTGGGGGACCAAAAAAGTGCAATAAGAAAAGTTTAGGGACCAATGAACTGCAGTAATAATAATTAAGGGATCAAAAAAGTGCATATATAAACTTATTCCATGCACACCATGCACACCATGCACACCATGCACGTATGACAGTATAACTGAAACTTGAAAAGTACAGTAAATTATATATATAACTGAAAATAAAGTATATTATACCTTTTGTTGGTCAGATATTATAGCATAAGCATCACCATCTCCTATTTGCAAATCATATTTAAGTTCTTCCAAAAACCAAAACCAACTTTCTTCCTTTTCAACTTCCACTATACCCCATGCAATTGGGTACATTTGGTCATTTACATCTCTACCGACAACAGTAAGTAATTCCCCTTTGTGTGGTCCTTTGAGAAAAGCTCCATCTAAACCAATGACTCTCCTACATCCAGCAATAAATCCCTTTTTCATTGCACTAAAACACACATACATCCTCAAGAAAATAAGGTTCAGTTCAGGTAGTGGCCTCGGTGCATAAATCGAAACAATGGCTCCTGGATCTCTTTTTCTCAGTTCTGCAGCATAGTCAAAAAGCTTGCTGTATTCCAATGAATGATCCCCTTCAAAAGTCTTTCTCAGCCTCCTTTTAATAATCCTACACTGGACTTGAGTCAACTCCACTTTCAACTCATCCCATATTTCAGTAAAAATATCACCACTTTTCAAATAAACAGCAGTAAAACCCTTAGTCTTCAATAAATGGTTCATTGCAAATGTTGAATTACATCTCCGATTGGTCGATCCCCATTCACATGTGTGTTCACTGTTAAATGTCTTGACCATCCATGTCTCAGTTGGCTTATCCCACGTTAACAAAATCTTCCAGTCACAATGCCTTTCATTACAAATAGCCTTGTGTCTCTTCTTATCATTCTTGACCCACTTGATTTGCCTCCTTTGCATAATGCTCAATTTATCCACAGCTTTTTTAAACTCAGCTTTGTTTAGAAAAACCATGCCTAACTCAATCTGTACATTGCCATCATCTGTTCCTCGGAAAACTTTATGCCTACTCTTCCTTCTCCTAGCGTGTTCAACTTCACTTCCATCCTCTTCACTTGTTGAAATGTAGCTGATATCATCATCTGAGCTTAATGAATCCTCAGGACCAAGATCATTGTGACCAGTTGAAGATGAGGGAATTTCATGACTAGTTCCTGCAGGCAAAGCATATATGTTATTATGTATTCCATTAACTCATTAACGAACTAAAAAAAGTAAAAGTTGATGAAATACCTGCTGATGGTTGACTATGACCATACTTAACACCTTTCCTAGCATTTTTTGATCTCGAAGTTGCCTCATGCAAAGACTTCATTTTCTTTCTTGCCTCGACAATTTCGTCATCTTCATTATCACTCAATTCAGATATATATGGAAGAAAATCATCTTCATCCTCAGAATGTTCATCGTCTTCATTACCATCATTACCAGCATCCTCAACTTTGCCTTCAACCTCAACCGCATGACTAGCATCCTCAACTCTGCCTTCAACCTCAACCGCACGACCAGCATCCTCAACTCTGCCTTCCAC